TGTTTGATTAAGGAGATGGGTGTGTTGGTACGAGAGTGAAGGGGGATGGAAGTAAGTTATATATAACCTCTTTTTTTTTTTTATTGAATAAGCAAGGCAGATTATAATAATAAACGAATGTTTTTTTTTTGCAATGTAATGTAATAATAATAATAATAATAATGTAATGTTATATATGATAAATGATGATGAAAATCAAAATTTAAATTTTTGAAAGTTCAAAAAAAATTTTGTTTAAAGGAATTGCTTTATTAAAAAAAAAAGAAAAATTGAATTTATTTTATATATCGAGCTTTTAACAAGAAAATATTTTAAACGACAACATTTTTTCGATGTTTTTTTTTTTTGTAAAGGAAAATGCTCCTTATATAAATAATTTTTTTTTTGTAATGAGTTGAATGTATCACACTTAAATTATTTTTTTATTTCTCAAATAAATAAATGGCGTATTTGATGATTAAAAAATTTTATCGCCCGCTGCTCACATTATTCTATGTATGACTAAGAAAGAATCATCCATCAAGCACACATTATTATTATAGAAAATAATACAAATACAAAAAAAGCATTTTCATTCAAGTTCGGAAATCACAAAATGGAAAAAAAATGGTAATTTGGAAAATTTATATAAATTTAAATTAACAAATAAACAAATAAAGTAAATCAATGATAATCAAATAAAAATGGGTACTTCTTTCCACACAATATGGATATGATGCACAGCATTTACATCAGGTTTGTCAAATAATATGTTTTTTATATTAATTATTTAAAAGATCTACGATGAGGTGTTTTTCACGATATAACGCAGCACTATAAATTTATACAATAATATAAATTTAAAGAAAAAAGGCATAATACATTAATAATCATAATATTATTATTATTAAAAATTAATTTTATCTGACTCGCAAGTAATAAAGCTAATCAAATTATCGACACAATTCAGCAAGCATTTCTTTTTTGTTTTACAACAACAACAAAGTATCAATCAATATTTATCATCATCATCACTTCCGTCAAAATAGTAGTTGTCACATATTAATTTAACATTAACCTGAATAAACAAGGTAGAAATCTAAAAATAATACAAAATTCAAAATTAGAATTCTTTTTAGCCCCCCAAACAACGAAATCAAATGTTTATCTTCGCCTCTTATGCGGGACATTGTGTTATGGCTTGCCAACAGCGCTTAACGGTCATAATTAGTTAATTAAAAATTTTTTTTTCTAATTCAAAAAAATAAAATTGTTATGTCTAATGCTTATCTGGTCCAAGACAATTAATTCATTCAAAGGTATTATTAAACTCTTGCTCTAAAAAAAGCAGTCCAATGAAGCTTAAACAACTATTCTCAATGCCAATTAATTGTTTTCTCTACAAAAGTGGATTCAATAACACTTAGCTACTACATACAGTCAGTCAACTCTTGTTTTAACGAATTTTAGTCTTGTGACAATGATCGACAAGTCTATTTAAATTTTTTAAATTTTTTAAATTATTAAACATGTGATTAACATACGATAAATCACGTAATTATGATTTTAACCTAAAACGTATGTTAATATATAACTTGTGATTTTTAATGATGATGTAATTAAACTCTTGTCATTTAAATGGCTTTGATTTGATCATTTTAAAAAAGTACTAAAATATTAAACAAATCTTATTACAAAACATGTCACCCAAAAAAAAAAAAAGAGCTTATACTACTGCTGACCAAAAAAGAGAAATTTGTTTATTGAAAAGAAATAACCCAACCAAAAAATATAGATTTAGCAAATCAATTTAATATTACTGCAGGTCATTGTAAAAAATCTGAAAGATGATGATTAATATATATAATAAATAGATTTAAATTCGTTTCAAGCAAAACTGAAAATATCACATACCTTGCCATTTGTTGATATTGAAGAAGCATTGTTTCATGATCTTAATGTAATTTAACCTTATTATTCAAAAAAAAAAAAAGGTTGCAAATTTTGCTGAGCTATTAGATAAAGAGTTTAAAGGATCTTCTGGTTGGTTATACACAATTTAAACAAAGAAAGTCAAATTCGTGAACATCTTTAAACGTGATGAAACTCCAGAAATGAGAAACACATTGCAAAATCTTCAATTTTTAATTGTAACGAAACCGGTCTTTTCTGGAAAATGTAACCATCTCGCAGTACAAAACAAAGTAAAAGATAATTATATTGTTAACATGCGACGCTACTGGAACAGATCAATTGGTTCCTTTATTTATTCATAAATATTAAAACCCAAGAGCATCAAAAAAAAAAATTATTAACCGCAAATGTCAATCTGGAATGATTAAATAAAAAAAAATGAAGAGAAAAATATTATTACTTGTTGACAATACACATATACACAATTTTATAAAAATTCATCATTTACCGCTCACCCAATGTAACTATACGCCTGCAACCATGTGACGCAAGAATAATTCATAATTTCATAATAAATATTTTAAAAATTATGATTCACAGCCTGTTATCCGATAATTATTATGAACCATTTAATAATGTAATTGAAGAATATCAAATCAAGAAAGAAGTTGTTTTTGAAAATTTAATCAATTAATTATCATTTAACTCTCCATTATAAGCAAAAGAATTGATAACGAAGAAATAAATAACGAAATAATAATTGATGAAGAAATTTTTGTTTTTTTCAAGCCAATTGGAGAGCAAATTGTCATTAAAAGTAACACGACCGCACCCAAGGTTTCAATAAAAAATTCAGTAAATGCCTTTGAGATTGCCTTCAACAATATGATATAGAAACAAAAATTACAATATATTATATATTTGTTTTCCTGACGATCATTGCCATTTTTGTTTCAACGATTTTTTTGTCGCAACGAATTCGACTCGTCCCATGTATTCGTTGAAACGAGGGTAGACTGTAAACAGTAATTCAAATATAACACTGTTGCTTCAAACCCTCATTTATAATATGACTATATCCAATATATTTAAAAATATTGGCTCTTGGCATCAATGGCAAAAGAAGGACTCGCGTCGAAAATTCTATAAAAGATTATATTGGCTGTCATAATCATCTTTGGGGCCAGGATTGTTCATCTTGTCTTATAATAGCATCATGTAGTTCGAGTTAAATAAGTCTAGCAATCTCAATAAACGGAATCATGCAAGTCAAAATCTCTAGCAAAATAGTCAAGAGGTTTATGCATCGGCTTGATGCATTTCTTCAGCATATAAACATACCAAAAAATAGCATACAACTAAACTAAAGATGAAAAAGAGAATCGATATAAAGAATTGGGATATCACGAGTTCCTTATTTGCCTGATAACTATCTCTTTTAGCTCTCAATTCCTTCCAAACTAATATGTTTGTCATTGTTGTTGCGTTCTTTTTATGTGTTGAAATTTTTTAGCAAGAATCATTATTTTTTTTGTAAATATTCTTTGACATTTTAAATTTTTTGTACTCTGAATAAAAAATTTGTGATCCATATTGTCTTAAATTGGATCCAAATTTTTCAATAATAAGAACACGCACGACGTTTGTTTTAATAATGACGCATGAATTTGCCAACGTTTATCACGTGAAATAATAATATATTTATCTTATTTACTCACTATTATAGTAAATTAAATTTCGTCGCAGCAAATGCTATCTGATTAAAATTTTGATATATGTATATTTCTTGTTGAATCAATTCGACCATTCTTTATCAGTCATTATCATCAATTTCGTTCGTTGCATTATTATTGTGTGGCGAAAAAAACCGCAATTCACACTTGCCGTATTATAATAGTCATTTTGGAAATGATTTAACATAATTAGATGGATAATAGTATCAGTAATAATGACAAATAACAATGATAACAATAGGTACCGCGTTCAATTAAACAAAATTTTATTCAACAAATAGAATTTTCAATCATCAATAAAGTTGCACGGTGCTACTATACTATTTATAACGCACATGACCAAACGAACCAAAGATTACTAATTACACCCAATTAATTATATTATTATTAAATTTCCTTCTTTTATACAACCATAATAATAATAATACTCATAATGCCAATAATAAATGGTTTGCCAGTTGAAATTTTAAATGAAATTTTTGAAATTTTTGAATGGAAAACCATAAGAACCTTTTTATATATCAACTCGACTTTTTTTAAAGTATGTGCACCATTGTTGTGGAAAAATTTAGGTGAAAATACGTGGGTGGGAATAGACGATGTGGAGAAACGATGGAGTCTCATTTCCAGAACATTGCTAGGCTATTCTTTCTCCTCCGCTGCCGCAGATAATATCACTGCCCACAATAACAACAATAACAATAACAACAACAATAATAGACAACTTTATATTGATTATAATTCATTTATTTATAGAATTTTTATATCATCATCCAACAACAACGAATTTAGACTACCAAAATCATTATTCTCGTATTTTCTAACTACTTGTAAAAACCTAACTGAAATAGAGTTCCAATATTATCAAGAATCAAATTTGCCAGAACCTTTCGAAGTGTTTAACGAACTAAATCCTGAAACTATTTGTTCACCATTATCTAAGATCTTAATTGATTTGACCCGTGTGCCATCAGAACCAATACTTTCATTAATAGCAGATCATATTGAAACATTGGAAGAATTAACGATAAAGATTTTATATCAGACTACACCTTTACCGGTAGAAATTTTGAGAAGATTAATAATAAACAATAAAAACTTAAGGAAGGTTACATTGTATACAATAGAAGGATGTAGAGTATTAAGTAATAAAGGTGACGGTGATGATGGTGATGATGATGATGATGATGACGATGATGATAATAATACATTAAAAAAGTTTGCAAATGGTGAAGATTTACCATATATTGTTACTGGATGGTGGTCTCAAGGTGAAATTTGATAATTATAATATTATTAAAAAATAATTAATTAAATAAAAAAAAAATATATAAAAGGATTTTATTATCATCGCTATTACTATCATATAATCCATTACTCGATTTTTTCTCCTTCTTCTTCTTCCTCCTTCTCCTCAACATATCTTGAAACATCAACATCGTGGTAATTATGATTGGCAAAATTAAACCATGGAATTGCGGCTTTATTTTCATGGAAAGGAGAAAGAGAAAGAGAGAGATATATGAATTGATTGATCTGCCTTAACTCCATAAATTTTATGTAATAATAAATAACTTATGTAATTTACCAAATTTTAAAGCAGCATATCTTGAATTCCATGCAGCTGCTTTTTGATTATATTGACTTAATTCAGAATTACCATACAAAGCCTTTCCTTCCCTTAATCGTTTTGTCATTTCCTGTTTATCTTTTTCAAACTCTTTTGAATTTTCTTCCCATCCCCAAAATCTAACTACAAACGATGCATAATAATTAATGAACGTTACTTCCTCCCTCTTTGAAAATAAATTATGCTATAAATACATACAACTACTTCGTTGGTAAGCTAATAAAAATCCTGCCATTGCTCCAAATCCAGCTGCATATCTAAGTCCAATGTTAAGCCCTTTCGACGGAAATTGAGGATTCGTTTTTTCTAAACTCATAAAAATTATAAGTTCTCTTGAGTTCCCTTTTAATGTTTCACTTTGGTTTATTATGAAGAATATTATGTATGCCTACCCATCATTATCATAAATGCAGGTCCAAAAGCTGTGGCAGCTCCCCATGCAAGATAATCTGAAGGTCGAAAGTATCTCACTACACGTGTAAAATGTGGGTCAAGATCAATAACAGGATATTGTGCTCCGTTTTCATGTCTTAAAGACATTTTGTGTTGGCTGGTTTATATGTTATTTTTGAAATTGAAAATATTTTAAAATAATTTGTCGTACAACATATAAAAAAGCAGATCCTCATAATTTTCATTAATCAAGATTTATTATGTTCCTTTCTTTTACAAAAGTGTGACCTTTTTTCAATTCATCAATTAATTATTTATTTGATGAAATATTTGCATGTAAAGTGGTAGCAGTAATAATAATAATAATAATAAATAATAATAGTAACAATAGTAATAATGGCAATGCATTCAAAAACATTCACAGCAAAAGTATTTATAAACGACACGGTTTGCTCCATTAAAAATGAAGAAAAAACTGGAATTATCACAAAAACTTGGCATAATTTCGAAGATATGCTTCAAGCAGCACCTGTTAGTATCCATCAGATTTACCCTTTATTGAATTATTAATAGTTAAATTTAATTTAATTGATTGATCGTTGATGAGAATTTTGTTTTTATTAATTTAAATTGATTTTTTTTTTAATGATTTAAATACATATATTTATATATTTAATAAAGATAAAGCGAAACCATGTATATGTATCCTGGCTTACTGGAAGCAAATCTTTTGATGTCCCACAATTAGTTCATGAGGATCATATTAAAGTCATTGATAGATATCCTTTATTTAACTTGTACAATCATAAATTATGCACAAATTTTACACATTTACTATATTATAATTAACTCGGAAATACATCTTTATTATATGGAGATATTGTTAAAAAGTCACCAAATGACATGATGTCCGGTACAATCACCAATGTTAATGCTAAAGTAGACATTAGACATAATATCTCAAATCAGATTATTCGTAATGTTGATACTAGACATATAACATATTGTTGGAAACTTAGAGAAGGTATTGTGGAGTTTTTTGGAAGTAGCTGAGGAGGGGAAAAAAAGACTTTGATGTTGAAAGATTTAAAAAAAATATATATTTGATTTTGTAGGAGAATTCGTAATTTATAATAATTGGCTTGGAACAATTGAAGAGGTAGCTCATAATAATAAAAATTATATTATGTTATATTATAATTATAGTATAACGTGTCGATTATAACGGCTAATTATTAATTAATATCTTATGTTAATTATGAAAAGGTTTTTGATCAAATTACTGTACAATTTCATGATGGCAGTATATGTATGGTAAAAGATGTTAATGCATTGGGAATTGATCGATCGGCCATTAACAATAATAATAATAGTCATATAGATAGATTTGCTGTTGGTGAGGTTAGAAGAAAAAAGAATTTAAATAAGCTTTACTTTTTATTTTATCAAAAAAAAAAAAAAAAGAGTAATTTTTAAATTCACTAATGTGTAAAATTAGGTTGTATGGGCACCTCCAAGAGATTTTCAAAATGGTAGATACCTTAAAGGAAACTTTAGTTCAAAACATCAAAAAGCAATTGTAATAGATTCAAGTCCATTCAAAGTTAAAATACGGTGGATTTCGCAAAACCCAATGGTATAAGAAATCAATTAATATGTGTATATATATATATATATATATATACACACAAACATATATTAAAAAATATATCTAAAATTTTTTCACATTATTGCACAGGTCGGAAATGAAAAAACTCTTCATGCTAGTCTACCACCAACAGAATTGACAGATTTAAAGAATTTAATACCATTCAAACGTCATTATGAAAATTCTACATTTGAATTAGGTGATAAAGTGATTTTTAATACCCCGGAAGATGCAAAATTTTACAATTTAAATTACAATGTGCCAGGCGAAAGCGCTGCCGACACAAATTACACCATCAATTCCACAACTAATTCCATTGACGAAGCTGACAATTCCATAATTATCAATACAAACACTGTTAACACTAATTCCGTCAACACAAAAACTACCAAGACTACCGGTAAATTCGATTATCCAGGGTTTAATCTTGATGTTTTTGTAAGAATAATAATAATAATAGTCATAGTCATAAGTATATAGTATATTATTGGCATAAAATGATTTTTTTGCAACTTGTGAATTTTTGTGCCAAAAAAAAAAGATCATCTCAATATAATATATATTTAATTTATAACAATAATATTTGATAATGAATTAGACAATCATGAAACTTACGACTTCTGTTGACGTTGAATGGCAAGATATGAGCCATTCTTGCGATATCTCTTCAATTGAACTAATACCTTATTTAAATGTGGATGATCATGATATGTATCCGGTAATCATCTTTAAAATATATTTTAAATATTCTTATGGAATTCTTTGTCAATTAATATTAATACTATTTTTTTTTAAATAACATCTGATTAATTTATTAAGTCAGATTACGTGTTAAAAAAAAATACAGAGTCTGGAGGTGAGGAACGATTGGGCATTGTGCAATCTGTTAATGCTATTGATAGAACCGCAAAGATTAGATGGTTTCGTGATAATATTGACATGGAACTTGAGGTATAGGGTGTAATATATAATTTGTAAAATTTTTTTCAGTGATTTTTTTTTTTAAATATATATATATATATAAATAGGAAACAGAAGATGAATTAAGTTTATATGAATTAGTTGCACACCCAGAATTACAATATGAACTGGGTGATAAGGTTCTTATCAGGCCAAAAAATTCAAAAACAAATATTTCTGATTTAAAAAAAGCACCACCTTCTTCAATGTTTTATCAAACGATTGAAGAATTGGCTGATGTGTTGTTCCACCGAACTTCAGAAAATGTTAATAATGAAGGTATAAAAATAGATAAATTTGTTTTCTTTTTTTTTTTTAAAAAAAACCTCCATTTATATTGCTTTTTTTTTTTAATTTGTATTTAATTTGACGTTGGAAGTTTCACAAGATTGGGTCGGAGAAGTGATAGAAAGACGTCGAGAAGGTGGTGTGATGGTGATGTTGCTAAGTGGAGCTAAAAAATTGATGCCATTAGATGAAATCATTATACTTGAAGATGATGATGATGACGACGATGACGATGAGAGTGATTATGATGAACATAAAATTGATGAAGACAATGATGATGACGACTATGAATCTTCATTTGACGATTATGATTCAAATGAAAGTCTAAATAATGAGTATACTAATACTATTAGCAGTAAAAATAAAAATATTACTACAGCTAATGATAGTGATGAATGGAGAACCGCAACTGAAGATGAGGATGAGGACGAGGATGAAAAAGAAATTAAAGCTAACTCCAATTATTATAACAATCGATTTGCACCATTAATGAATTATAAATTTATAGAGGAAGAGGTGGAAATTATTGATGATGAAATGGAAGACGATGATATGGAAGAGAAGAAGTTAGAAGAGAAAATGAATGGGAGGAGGCAGGAGGAGAAACTGAAAACAATTAAGGACGAAGAAGGTACTACAATATCAAAGATTGGAACTAACGAAATAGCTATGGATGATGATACTAAATCCAAAGAAACTTTAGTAGTAAACCCTAAAAATGAAGAAATTTCAACACATAGTACTATTATTGATAAAACAATGACGGAAGAGAAATCAGAATGTTCCAGTGACATGTATGGAAAAGGATCTAATTTTGTTATGTTAGATGAGGCACCAAGTGATCATATTTTCATTGGAAAGATGGTTGAAGTACGTTTATTGTATAGATTTTAGGAGGATGTGTGTATATGTGTATTCGAGTATTGATATAATCTTTCTTTTCTGAAAAAAATCTTATATAGAGTCAATCAAGTTTTTATATTCAAAGAGTGTTAAAAGAGCATCGTATACTAAGTAAATCGTTACCAGGCAAGTTAGATACATATAAAAGATATATTATTTTGGAGTTTACGTACGCATAAAACAATTAATATTATATGTGTTATTATTGCTGCTACTGTAGATGGCATTTTAGTAAAAGCATTTTCTGATCGTTTGGATCTTCTTCGAGTTTTGATATTTGGACCACAAGAAACACCGTGAGATATCCTTATAAATAATAATTTTCCCAATTATTTTGATAAATTTCTTTGTTTAAAATTTCATTCATTATGTATATAGATACGAAGATGCGCCATTTCTATTTGATTTTTCATTTCCAAATAATTTTCCTAATGAACCACCTGTTGCACATTTTCATTCGTGGACTGGTGGCATAGGAAGAATAAATCCAAATTTATACGAAGAAGGCAAAGGTATTAACAATAAACAATATATTCATGAAATTTATAGATTAAAACACACATACACGTATATAACTCACAAACTCGCGCACAATCATACACATATTGCGTATAGTTTGTTTAAGTTTATTAAATACATGGACAGGAAAAGATGAAACAGAAATGTGGACTCCGTTATCGTCAATGTTACAACTTTTAATTTCATTACAAGCATTAGTACTTAATCAATCGCCATGGTATAACGAGGCAGGATTTGATAAGTTTGTTGGATCAGAAGAAGCAATTGCATCTTCAGCTTTATATAACGAGAGAGCATATCTGTTAAGTTTAAGGGCTATATCATTTGGTAAGCTTTTTGTATTGATAAAAGAAAAGAGATATATATATAATTAATTTATTAATGTATATATTATATGTTATAACTTTTTGGGTGTTGGCGTTGTGTAGTTTTAAAAAATACGCCAAAAGGTTTAGAAGAAGATCTTGAAGAGTTTTATATTAGACGTGGTATTCTTAAAAAGGTCATAGGAAAAGCCTACAAAATAATCAATAAAAGTGAAAAAGAAATTCAATCGTCAACAACAACAACAACAACGACGACAACAACAACAACACAAGCGACAACATCTACAACTGCCGCAATAGCGACTAATGGCAATGAAGAAGATTTACCAGTTTCAAAAATTTCTAAAGGTGCTATAAAATTGCTAACAGGAATAATCAACAATCTACATGATCATTTAAAGCAACAAAAAGAAGATATAAATAATGTTACATAGTAGGAAATACATTTATTTTTTTTTTATTTGTAAAAATATTAGAGAACTTTCTTTATATATAAGAATAAATAGATCAAAATATTTAAATTTGTCAAGTATTTAAATATATACATATATATATTTATTATTAATGTTGATTTTTTTTACAAAATTGTTTGATATTTATTTAAAAAAAAAAAAATTTTTTTATCAATCATTCATCTTTTTGTTTTTGTTGTTGCTGTTCTGCACCAGGATCTTTTTCAAATATTGCAACTAAGATATATGAGAATACTATAAGATTTGCAATACCTGCAGCCGAAAGTGCTGCTTTAGTTGTGTCATTTCCTTTATTTATCAATTAAAAACAAAAAAAAGATTAATTGATGTTTGAAAGAAAATATCACGTTGTCAGTGAATATTTTTTCAATTTAAAAAAAAAACAAATTTATTTGATTTTTTTAATTACCAAATAAAAAATTCAAAGTTAAATAATAAGTGGAAATTGGAAATATTAACAATAGAATGGTGTGTAGGTAGAATTTAAAAGCAACATTTCTAAATAATAATAATAATTGTAATTGTGAGTTTTTTTTTGACCGATAAAAAGTCCAAATAATAAAATTTGAAATTACTTTGGTATGTTAACGCTTTTAAGTTTAATAATTGGCTTTTCGTTTTTGGGTGTAGAGGATGATGACATGTTGTTGTTTTTTGAGAAATCTAGAAAAAATCCACGAATTTATAATTTTTTGTTTGTTACACGATCTACCAATGAATTTAAAATTCACCAAAATAAAACAAAAAAGGCCGAAGGAATCCGTTTTGTTTGCAGTTCAGAGAAAGAGTTCTCTTGGGCGAATATGAACGCAGCACATAAAATAAATCAATTGCTGATCAACAACATATTAAATGATAAGAGTGATTTGAAAGAATCAGAGATTCGAACTCGTATAACATTTAAATCCGTTATAACGAATTTATTGTTTATATTATTAATATTACTATTACCAGTCGTTTTACAGTCAAAGCTCGTTACAGTGAATATCATAGTCATAATAAAATCTCTTTATTATATAGAGTGAACATTGAAAATTTTTTTATATTGAACACATAATAGAAGTAAATTTCGTTTAAGTGGATGTTGATCGTGTTTATTGGCTAATTTGCTTTATTTCTAAATTTAGTTAGATCAACCATTAAATTTCGTTATACAGTGCCGATCGTCTATACTCAAAATAAAAATTGACATTACTAAACCTGGTAAAAATAATTTTTAAAAAAATTCTAACCACTGATTTTTATTAAGCAACATTAGAACTTTCAAAATTAGTGGCTAGTAAGGCTCTGAATGAATCGAATCGAATCGAATTTGAGAGTGATTCGATTCGATTCGATTCGTTCGGTAGTCAATTCGATTCGATTCGAATTAAAAAAAACAGGATTCGATTCGATTCGATTCGATTCGTGACTCGATTCGAATTGATTCGAATCAAACCGGATTCCTAAAAATTTTTTAACGTCATATTAATATTAAATTTATATTTTTAATTTGA